GTTCAGCATCTCAAACTGGGCAGGAACGGACCAGAAACCCCAAAATTTAACCCAAAAATTCAAAGAAAATCTGAAATTCCCAAAATTCCCAGAGAATTCCCAAAAAATTCCCAGAAAAAACCCCCATAATTTGACCCAAAAACATCAAAATTCCACCCTGAATCCTCCCCAAATTCAGATCAAAGCCAAGTTCAGCATCTCAAACTGGGCAGGAACGGACCAAAAATCCCAAAATTTACCCCAAAAATCCAAAGAAAATCCAAAATTCCACAAATTCCCAGAGAATTCCCAAAAAATTCCCACCAAAAAACCCAAAATTCCACAGAAATCCCATCAAAATCTGCCCCAAATTCAGTTCAAACCCAAACTCAGCATCTCAAACTGGGCAGGAACGGACCAGAAACCCAAAATTTAACCCAAAAATTCAAAAAAAATCCGAAACTCCCCAAATTCCCAGAGAATTCCCAAAAAATTCCCACAAAAAACCCCAAAAATTTGAACCAAAAACATCAAAATCCCACCCTGAATCCGCCCCAAATTCAGTTCAAAGCCAAGTTCAGCATCTCAAACTGGGCAGGAACGGACCAGAAACCCCAAAATTTAACCCAAAAATTCAAAGAAAATCCGAAACTCCCTAAATTCCCAGAGAAAAAAACCCCAAAATTTACCCCAAAAATTCAAAGAAAATCCGAAATTCCACAAATTCCCAGAGAATTCCCAAAAAATTCCCACAAAAAACCCCAAAATTTGACCCAAAACCATCAAAATCCCACCCTGAATCCTCCCCAAATTCAGATCAAACTCAAGTACAGCATCTCAAACTGGGCAGGAACGGACCAGAAATCCCAAAATTCACCCCAAAAATTCAAAGAAAATCCGAAATTCCACAAATTCACAGAGAATTCCCCAAAAATTCCCAGCAAAAACCCCAAAATTCCACAGAAATTTCATCAAATTCCATCCCAAATTCAGATCAAACTCAAGTTCAGCATCTCAAACTGTGCAGGAATGGAGCAAAAATCCCAAAATTTAAACCAAAATTCCAAAGAAAATCTAAAATTCCACAAATTCACAGAGAATTCCCCAAAAATTCCCAGCAAAAACCCCAAAATTCCACAGAAATCCCATCAAAATCTGCCCCAAATTCAGTTCAAATCCCAGTTCATCATCTCAAACCGGGCAGGAACGGACCAGAAACCCCAAAATTTAACCCAAAAATTCAAAGAAAATCTGAAATTCCCAAAATTCCCAGAGAATTCCCAAAAAATTCCCACCAAAAAACCCAAAATTCCACAGAAATCCCATCAAAATCCACCCCAAATTCAGTTCAAATCCCAGTTCAGCATCTCAAACTGGGCAGGAATGGAGCAAAAATCCCAAAATTTACCCCAAAATTCCAAACTAAATCTAAAATTCCACAAATTCCCAAAAATTTTCCCCAAAAAAACCCCAAAAATTTCAACCAAATCCATGAAAATTCCATCCCAAATCCATCCCGAACTCAAATCCAGCATCTCAAATTGGCAAAAAATTGACCAAAAATCCCAAAATTCACCCCAAAATTCCACTGGGATTCCACAAATTCCCAAAAATTCCCACAAAAAAACCCCAAATTCTCCCCTCAAATTTCCCCAAGAATTCCCAAATTTCCCCCGATTTTCCCCCAAATTTCCCCAAAATTCCCAAATTTTCCCCAAATTTCCAAAATCTTCCCCAAATTTCTCCCCAAATTCCCATTTTTTTCACAATTTCTCTCCAACCTTCTCCCAAAATTTCCATTTTTCCCCAATTTCCCTCCAAATCTCCCAATTTTTTGCCCACCTGGCCCAAAATTTCCCATTTTTTCCCAATTTCCCCCCAAAATTCTCATTTTTTTCAGATTTCCCCTGAAATTTTTGCCCATTTCCCCCCAAAATTCCCAATTTTCTCCCAATTTCCCCCCAAAATTCTCATTTTTTTCAGATTTCCCCTGAAATTTTTGCCCATTTCCCCCCAAAATTCCCAATTTTCTCCCAATTTCCCCCCAAAATTCTCATTTTTTTCAGATTTCCCCTGAAATTTTTGCCCATTTCCCCCCAAAATTCCCATTTTTCCCCAATTCCCACCTAAATTTCCAAATTTTTTTTCCCAATTTCTCCCCAAATTTCCCATTTTTCCCAATTCCCCCCAAAATTCTCCCAAAAATTCTCCCAAAAATTCCCAATTTTTTCCCACTATTACCCCAAAATTCCCAATTTTCTCCCAATTTCCCCCCAAAATTTCCCATATTTTTGCCAATTTCTCCCCAAATTTCCCAAAATTTTCCCAATTTTCCCCCAAAATTACCAATTTTTTTCTCAATTCCCCCCAAATACAGGTGAGACAGGACAGGTGAGACAGGACAGGGGAGAGGGGACAGGTGAGACCAGCACAGGTGAGAGGGGGCAGGAGAGACAGGTGAGACAGGTGAGAGGGGACAGGGGAGACAAGGACAGGTGAGACAAGGACAAGTGAGAGCCGACAGGTGAGACGGGAAAGGTGAGACAGCACAGGTGAGAGGGGACAGGGGAGACAAGGACAGGTGAGACAAGGACAAGTGAGAGCCGACAGGTGAGACGGGAAAGGTGAGACAGCACAGGTGAGAGGGGACAGGGGAGACAAGGACAGGTGAGACAAGGACAAGTGAGAGCCGACAGGTGAGACGGGAAAGGTGAGACAGCACAGGTGAGAGGGGACAGGGGAGACAAGGACAGGTGAGACAAGGACAAGTGAGAGCCGACAGGTGAGACGGGAAAGGTGAGACAGCACAGGTGAGAGGGGACAGGTGAGACAGGTGGGGGACACGTGAGACAGGTGAGGCAGGTGAGAGGTGAGACAGGTGAAACACCGATAGGTGAGACGGCACAGGTGAGACAAGGACAGGTGAGACAAGTGAGGGACAGGTGAGACAAGTGAGAGAAGTGAGGTGAGACAAGGACAGGTGACATGGCACAGGTGAGAAATAGAGGTAGGAGACAGGCGAGAGACAGGTGAGACAGGTGAGATGGCACAGGTGAGTCAGGTGAGGGACAGATGAGACAAGTGACACACGTGAGACAAGGACAGGTGAGACAGGTGAGACACCAGGAATTCAGACATGGACAAGTGAGAAATACAGGTGAGACAAGTGAGAGACAAGTGAGAGACAGGTAAGGGACAGGTGAGACAGGTGAGACACCAGGAATTCAGACATGGACAAGTGAGAAATACAGGTGAGACAAGTGAGAGACAAGTGAGAGACAGGTAAGGGACAGGTGAGACAGGTGAGACACACACAAGTGAGACGCAGACAGGTGACACACAGGTGAGACAGAGATGAGACACAGGAGAGACACAGATGACACACGTGGGGCACAGGTGAGACACAGGTGACACACAAGTGTGATGTGAGACAAACAAAACACAAGTGAGGCACAACCGAGCTCAGGTGAGCCCCAAATGCCGCCAGGTGTATCCCAGGTGTATCCCAGGTGTGCCCAGGTGTGTCCCAGGTGTACCACAGGTATGCCCAGGTGTACCTAAGTAGATCTCAGGTGTATCCCAGCTGTGCCCAAGTGTGCCCATGTGTATCCCAGCTCCCCCCAGGTGCCCCCAGGTGTATCCCAGGTGTGCCCAGGTGTGCCCCAGCCATATTCCAGGTGTATCCCAGGTGTGCCCAGATGTATCCCAGGTACCCCCAGATGTGTCCAGTTGTCCCCAGGTGTATCCCAGCTGTCCC